GCTCATGCTCCCCAGCCTCCCCACCTCCCCTTCCCTTCACCCCTAGGCTTACGGCTTATTCCCATTCATTCGGTGAATTTGCTCACTTCTTTTTCTAGCTCTGAATCAACTTCCTTCACTCGGGCGTCCCCACGAAAGGCTCCTAACGCCTGGGCAGCCCTGGGCGGGCCGAGGCCTCCAGGCTCACCCCTGCTCTGCAGGGACACCGCGGCCGGAGGTATCTCACAATGAACCAAGGTGTTTATGGGAAAAAGAGCAGGAAAACCGCCCCACTTCCCTGGCACTGTGCTGCCAGTGCCCCAGCTGCGACGTCTTTGCTAGCAAAGAGACACGAGACAGGGTCTGTTCCCCGTGGCACAGCACAGCTCCTGTGCTCACTGCCCCACTGTCTTTACACAGCTAAATGAAGAGTCGTGCCTACCACGTGCGCCTGTCCTACTGCTCCTCGAAATCCAGCCTTGCCTGGGGCTCTGCGTGCTCCAGATCCATCCCCGAGCACGTGGAGAGTCTGTTCTGCTCTCCAGGAACACCCCCCACCTTTCCAGGCTCCTCTTTTTGCACAGCCACTACCCTGGCTGGTCCTTCCGCTCCTGGGTTTTAATCACCATCCTTGCCATGGCTGGAAATCAGCTCCTGATCTGCAGCCACCTATCACAATTCTACCCAGTCTCACAGAATCACAGAACGGTTAAGGTTGGAAGGGACCTCCCTGCTACCCCCTTCTGCCTTTCTCTGCCAATAATCTCACAGCTGTGGTCTCAGATGCTGCTGGTTTCCCTGCAGTTCCTTTCCCATCGGAGCAGTGCCTAACTCACGTGGCCTCTGCCTCTAAAAGCTCTACAAGTCCCATTTGGCCAGGTTGCTCAAAACTGCTTTTTGTATCATTTAGCTTCCATTCAGCTTCAATGCCGAGGAGGATTCTGAAGCAATCTGACTTGAACTAAAAATTTCAAAGCTCTTGCCTTGCTCTTGCCTCCCTCAGCAAGGCTGGAAACGCGCACTGCCCGCTGCAGCCCCGCAGCCTGTCGCAATCTGCAAAGCTGGAATATTAACAAAAACCTTTTTAAGTCCTTTTCGGGGAGGTCAAACCCACTCCTTGTTATTAAAAAGTCAGCTAAAAGCCTGGGCAGACAATTGAGAGCAGCAGAGCGCCCTGAAGTGGCTGCAGTCCAAGCGGAGAGACCCGGGAACCCGGCGTCACCCAGGGAGAGCTGCACCCCCGGCCTGCAGCAGCCCCAGCGAAGCAGCAGTCCCAGCAAACTGCAGCCCCCAGCACGGAGACCGTCGGCACGACAGACTCAACAGAAATGTTCTCCTCAAGGTAGCAAAACCAAGTTATGCAACGTCGCAGTCAGAGAAAGGAATGCTAAGAAAGAAATTAATTTGGTAAGTCAGCAGGGTTCTCATGGCAAAAGTGTGGGAATAATGTGGGTGAAAAATAGGACAAAATTTACAGTGCTTCCATTTCTTTGCAAGACCACCTGAAAGGAACTGAATAACGGTGAGATTTTACATAATTGTCCACTACATCTTCAACTATCAAAAATGTTAAATCTATATATGATCTTAAAGGCATTATAATATAAAACGTCTTTCATTTGATGTCCCCTGGCTCTTACAACTCAGTATCTGAAATTCAATTTTGGGACAAATTAGCCTGCACACACGACTAGGTTCCAAAGATCAAATAAAAAGCCATCCTTTAAAATAAATGATCCTTTGCAGAGCTCAAGTCAAAGTTCCTCATTGGAAAAAAAGAAACTGTCATAACTAAAGCCCTCCTGAGATTTAGGTTGTATTTCAAATGCACAGACACCAGACAGACATTATTACAGCACGAAAATGTACTTTGTTCCAAAGTCACTTGTGAACATAGTCAAAACATACTTAAAGTGCACTTGGTAAATTAAAACGTACTGTTTTAGATAAAACTAATTTACTAGACATCTGACAAGCTGTAATACATGGCAGGAAAAAAAGAGTGTGCATCTCAAGTTGGAATATATATACAGTTCATTTTTTTTCCAGCTCAAATTTATTCTCCGTAGCCCAAATTACATTTGAGACTAATCTCTTGAAGGTAGTAACTGAAATACTGCAGTCATTGAAGCCTCTGAGGAAACAGTAACTGAAAAAGCAATTCAAGTGAGATCAAAACCAATAAAATGGGAAACCAAAGAGGTTTAAAATGTGCCTGCATGGCTGAGGTTTAGTCGGTATGCCAAGCTGTCTGATGTAACAGGTAACAAAAAATACATATTTTCAAAAAATCAGTTGCCACATGTGATCTGTTGTGGCTATGAAGGAACACTTGAAGATTTTTGTTAAAATATTGGATTAATCTTCACTTACCCAAACTTATTCAACTCATGGTTTCTCATTACTTGTATCATTTCTTTCAGATCCCACTTCCGAGGAAGGGGGGCTGGCCAAGGGCCTCGTCCTTCCGCGCTCCGCAGCTCTGCAGGGGAGCTGACACCCTGACCCCAGGGGCAGACCAGCCCCTTGCTCAAAAATACCGACACCCATCAACCCATCAACCCTGCCCAAAATCTGTCTGCTTCTGTCACCTTGTATTCTTGAAGCTCGGCGAAGCTCGAGCTCGGCTGGCGTCTTAGGGGAAATGATTATATAAAAAGTGATGTCTGAATACATTAAAACAAAGGCAGAAGGGATCTCCCCTAGACTAGGAGTTATTTCAGTGACACCACAAGTTAACTATATTTTAAACCCACCGTCCCGCTAGTGTTTTCAACGCACTTGCTAATCAGTAATGCTGGAAATCATGGTATTGTCAAGAGAGCTTTTCCAAGCTAGGGCTCCAAGCTGAAATCATGCTACAAGTGCTGCAGAAAGGTCCTGTTCAAACACTACCTTCTTCCTACACCCCACAGGAACCAGGAAATGCCTGAGGCACCTAAATATTTAATAGGCAGTGTCACAACAGGAGGCTCCCTAGGCTTGGTTGCTGGGAATTCCTTCCCACCTGCACACCAGTATTCCAGAATATTGGTCCTTGCAAAGCGCTATCTATGAATACAGGGGACGAGTGGCTCCCTGAGCCCTTCCACTTAGCACGGCTTCACTTCAGGCTTTCTCAGCGACCTTTAGTGTCAGTTCTTCCAAGAAACAGGCTGCAAATAACTATCTGTCCATCTCAGGATGTCCTCTTCACTCTTTCACTTACCACTTTTACCCTCCAAAGGGTAAAACACGAGAGCCTGCATCACTCCAGCCCTGAAGGACAAACGTGAGCGCCCCGAGATGCTTCTCCCTGCACCTTCCCTACAGGTTTGGCACAAAACACAATCCCCAAAACTCGATGTCCTGCTGGTTCTCAGCCCCCAGGCCGCATCTGACCTGACACAGATTGTCCCTTCCAATAACATGAGGTTTTACAGGATCCTCCAGCTCTGAAATCCCTGCCTTATATCCAGGTTTTACTCATCACAACCTCATATATTAAAAAGACAACCTTAACTATATTACTGATGCTATCTAGGGGAAGCAGAGAATAAAATTTCATCGTATTAACCTTATTCCACTCCAAGCAATATAAAAATACCACTAGAGAGTGCATCTATCAAGTACAGATAGATAGATTACAACTCCAGCAACACATGAAAAGCAACCAATAAATCCCCTTACGTAACCCTCATCAATAAACACCAAATCTTAACTTCGTTATCACCGTTGTTTTCCTTCCTCCATTAAAAGCTAATGGGCAGGCTTGAGCTGTCACAAACACAGCTGGAAGGGGAATGATCCTTCTTTTTTTATTATTTATTTTGCATTGTGAGATGAGTTTTTGCACTCTTTTTGCGTGGAGATGCTCAAGCAGCTCAGGGAAGCAGCAGCTCCGTTAGGGCTCCCCTGCTCCCTGCTGCCCTGAGCAGGGGCTGCTTCCTGAGCGCCCCCAGCCCTGTCAGCTCGGCCAGCCGCTCGCTGGGGACACGGGCACCAGCTGCTTTGCTCAGGGTTATCCAGAGCTTAAATCCCTGGCACAACACTCAGCCCCAGGTCCTGCCCCTACAAAGCGCAGTCACATCCAGGTCAGTGGCAATCCAGCTCGAGGATCTTTTGGATAGAGAGCTGAGCAGCAGGAGATGCTCAGGAAACAAGACATCTAGAGAGGGCAAAACAAAGACTTACACTCCCTCTCCGCAGTGCCAGGGTCTGTTTCGGCACCCGTTACACACGGGGCTGCGTGTGGGGGCACGGGGGAGCCGTGAGGCGACTCCGAGCACCGGGCACCGTGTGGGGCTTCTCCGGCCTCCTCGCCTCTCCAGAAGCATCCCAGCCTCCCTGCGCCAGGACGGGATACAGGACCTTCCCCTTTCAACAATTCAAACACTGCTTTACGTTACAATAAAAAGCTTAGCGTTGCTAATTCTATTATATGTGTGCTTCTAACTCAGAGGCCACTTCACTTGTGGCATCAAGTCATACATCCTCTCACGTTACGTTTTGCACAAATTCATTTAATAAATTGCAGTTACAGAGGGCTCCTCCAAATCTTCACATGGCTTCAAGATTTTCCTTTCAAACAGAACCCGTAGTGTGACAGTAGAGAAATGTACTTCTGAAACACAAGCAACCCCTGGGGAACTAGTCAAGCTTTTTTACACGTGGAATATTCTCCCTGAGATCCCTTCAACACCAACCCCAAAATCTTGCTAATACATCTCCACAAAAGAAAACAACATCCTTAGCACAGATCTCTGTTCAGTACCTAGCCAGCAAACAAGCTCTTAAATATTAAACCCTTGGAGCAAGAAGAGGGCTGTAAAATGAGTTCTTAAGGCAGCTTTTAAAAAGCTTGAGCATTTCAAAATGAAAGTGCAAAATGTGTCTGGATAAAGCAAAGAATATGAATAGCTACAGTTCCTGCCCTTTCTTTAATCAGGGCTGAACTAATATCTTGATAACCTCTGGAGAAGATGGAAGAGATATCTTGATATGTCATGGGAAACCAACCAAACCAACCAACAAACCCATACCTGTAGCTGTCTTCACTTTCTGAATCAGGCTCTTGGTCAGAATCTTTGAATTTGTCAGGATCTGGTAGAGTACTCGGATCAAATTCTTCTTCACTCCCGCTGTGTGCAAGGTAGGCCACGGTCTCCTCTCCACCCTGGAATGGGACAAAAGGCAAGTTACAGATGAACGAGTCTGGATACTGCCCCGAGCCACTAACACGGGTGCTGTAACAAAAACTTATCCCTGCTCAGGAAATTTCAAGACGTTCTCACGAACACATCTTCAAACGCTGCTTCACCAATCTCACATTTAGGTTGGGCACCAAGCCAAAGGAGATTTTGGCAGCTGCTAATCCCACACTTCAGCAGTACGGAACTCTGCTGTTTTCCCAGAAAGGCGCTGGCACAGATGGGCCTCCGGACACACTCATCGCCTGTGCACCGGGTACTTCATAAAACATTCGTCCAGGTTTCCTTGCAGTTAGACAAAACACCGCCGAAGCCAAATGGCTCCTCGTTGGAGCCGTTCAACCATCCTTGGTTGAATGGCTCCAACCATCCATCCATCCATCCATCCTTGTTGAATGGCTCCAACCAAGGTTGAATGGCGCCAACCGTCCAACCATCCTTGTTGGAGCCGAATGCACTGTCCTTGTTGGAGCTGAATTCACCGTCCCTGGGGAGCTCTGGCAGCCACGAGCGGTGATGCAGGTTCCTCAGCCCCCCAGGAAGCCACAGCCCCCCCTGCAGCCCCCTGGCACCTTTCACGGCGCCTCTGCGGAGGCTGCTCTGCCAACGGGCACGTGCAGGGACACCCAGGAAAACGCACGCACCCATGAAAAGCTCCTGGGCACGGCCGAGCACTGCGAGTGCCAGGCCTTCCGTGTGGAAAAAGAAATGCAAACAGACACCGCTACCTTTTGCTTCCATAACTAAACACACACACATAAGGCCGCATTTCTGAGAGTGCCCATGCAAACGATCTACCGTTTTACAAGCAAGCTCACATCAGTAAATATTTCATTCTTCCTGGTTTTCCACCTTTCCACCCCTCTCCAGCCCCGGGCTCTAACAACACCCTGCAGTTCGGCGCATGCACAGCTCATGGCAGCAAAACCTCTCTGTGCCTTCTCGCCCCAAAGGTTCCTTATCTATTTAGATATTAGATAGGCAGGGAGTGAGCAGCCACGGGCAGACGGGGGGCAGGAGGAGTCGCCACTGCGGGACCCTCTGCGCTCGCCCACGAGCACTGCTAACACAGAACAAACCTGGTCTGAAAAGTACCTCCTTGGGGGCGACTTCCCCACCTGAAACGGTGAAGCTGCATGAGCTCCACGTAGCTGATTTCCATTTCTTTCAAAAGTGAAACATTTGCTCTTTACTTGTCCCTCCAGCTGCACCTATTCCTTTAATACGGCACGTCCTAACCACGTACTTGGACTAAACAAAGAGCAACGGCACCCAGAGCTGTGGTATGGAATGAAGGGCTGATTAAAATCAGTGTGCGTCTGCGCGACGCGCCACTAACAGCCCCGGGCAGGCGTCTGTGAACAGCCGGCCCTGCGTTTGTGCCCTCGGCTGTGAGAGGAAGAGCCTGGCCCCACAGCGTAACGCTGGGCAGGACTCGGCTCTCACTGCACACCCACAGGCACTGTCCAGAACGAAATCTGCAGATACCTGGTTAAGTCAACACCTGTAGTCAGGCAAACATGAAAAGAAAGAACTGGTAAAAATACCTCGCTGGTTCAGCAGGAATCATGAGGTGGTATTTCTTATAGGTATTGCCTGTTGCATATTCATGAAAGTATTTGTAGGTCCCTGGAATTGTCAGAAACTTTAAAGGGAACATTTATCATCCACAGTTGAATAATAGAAACTCGTTATTTTTCACTCTTGCTTCAAGTTCCTATCAGCCAGTCGGGAAGGAGAAATATTACGACTCAACCTCACATTACTCAGCACAAGAACTGGAGCAAGAAGTCCAAGACACAGCTTGACATGATAAACACTTGTAAAAATCCTTGTAACAAAGCAGAGAAAACCAGGAAACTGTGTTTCCTCTCACAAACAGGGTATGACTTACAGAACGAAGGCTGGCTCCTTCCTCTGGCAGTCACTATCTAAGAGGGTATTAGGTAAAGAACAGATCTTGGCCTTCTGCAATCGAAGCCTGAGGTTGGGCTAACGCTCCTCAGAGCACAAATTCCTGGCAAGTTCTACCCCAGGGGCAACACATTGAGATGTCGGCGTGTCGGGAAAGCCTCCTGCCCTCGGCCCCAGGTCAGCTGTCATCAGCCCTTCCCCATTCTGGGTATTTTGGAAATGAGGCCAACAGAGGAGACCCCTCTCTCGCGTTCAGGAGAGGGGAACGCAGGCCCGGCTTCTGCTCGTCTTTCTCATGAGATGGATGGACAACATCCCTGCCCTGGAAAGAAGTGTGAATGGCTGGTGGAGCTCAGCCTGCTCAGGCTGAGCAGGCTACCAGAAACTTAAGAGTGAAGCAACTGACGGACCTTTTTAAGCAGACAAACACTCAAGGGACAGTAATCTCCCAAATAGTGGAATGATGTCTCTTTTCTACCAGGCATTAGGCACTCGAGAGAAAAGCATCTATTACAGCCAGATAAAAAGGGAAGGCAGAAAAGCATTCCATGAAAGATGGTGCATACATAAAATACATTAAAAAAATCCATAGCAGATTTAATTACTAGAATTCACATATAATAAGTATTTAACTTATAGCTAATTCAATTTAATAGGCATTTATTTTTATCTGACTAAATTTTCTTGAGTTTTCTGTCTTCTTATGTTCGAGTCCTTAAGCAATTTATCAAGTCCCAGCAACTGGGTAGGAGAGAAGGAATTGCTTCAGCCCTGTCAGCTCCATGCACAGGACTTCACGTAAAACTCAGCAGTGGAATATTTCTGATTAATTTAAAGTTTGAGGTTTATTTTAAAGTTATCAGACTTGATTCGAGTCTGACACCAGTCATGCTTATGAAATACTAAAACATTCAGGTCCTTAGAGAGCCCACCTTTGGCTTTGGTTAATAATGCATTTGGCTTCTCTTAGTGATAACGTTGTGCTTTTAATACTAAACAAGGGTGAGTTTTAAATACTGTTACTTCTTCCACAGAAGTACACAACTTGTAAAAACTTAGCATATTAAAGTTTACACAAAAGGATACTTAAAAGGGTAACGTAAACCTCGTCATAAACTGATGGCACTCCGAATTTCACGAATTTTCCTTTTTTTTCACAATTATCATTCACATAATTGTGAGAGTTTGTTTTGCACCATTTTTGTCATGGAGCATATTCGCAAAAATGGACGTGTTGGGGAATCTCCTCACAGCCATCTGAGGCTGGATCCGCCTGATCTCCCGGGGCAATAACCTGATGCTCAGATATTTGATGCCCAGACCCAGGTATTGTGTGGTTCACGAATGGAAACACAGCTTGTCACGTAGCTGGGGTGTTTGATCCAATAGGTGCTTGGAAGATCAAGCCTTAGACCAAGACTGGATACTGACTGGGAGCCCGTGGAGCAAAGAGAGTGCAGATATGATGAAACAAGTGGGCAACCACACCACACACTGTCTAAAGCCCCTCAATGGCCTTCAAACTCAGCTCCAACTCGGCTTAATTACAACAGTCCTGCCTGGTCATGACAAACACCTCAGAGCATCTTTGCACTGAGGCAAGGATCTGGCTAAAACCATTTTTTTCATCAAAATCATCTCAAACATTAATCCTAACAGATGACATCTACTTCCTTTCTGGGATTGGTCCTCTCACTCCTTCTAGGCTTGACTCTTCGGATCAGAAGGAAGCAAAAGGAAGCAATGCACAAAAGGGTGGGAAGGGCAGAGAGCAGGATGTTGCTGCAGGACTTTCTGTCCTCACAATCTGAAGCGTGCAGGCACCCAATCAAAAAGCCAAAGATCTGGCTGTGAAAAGGCTCCAAGGGTCCATCCAGACAGAGGCCACAGCTCAAATGTGTTTCCTGCAGGAGGCTGGTAAACAAAAATTGCAGAAACCACGGTGGCAGGTAGCTTTTGGTGGCAGAGAGAGTCTTTGATACTACGATGCCCCAACTTGCCTTGCAAACGTTGGGAGGAGTCAGCCAACACTCCTGGCTCTCACGTCCCTTTGAAGGGACACCAGCCTGGTTCTTCAGGGGAAGGGACAGGTGAGTCCTGGCTGCCTCTGCAAAGCTTCCCCCCTTCCCAAGCAGCACCAGTCTCACCGAGGTTCCATTTCATGCAGCTGTTTTTTGTTCATTTTTAAGCAATCTGACATCTTCAATAATAAAATTAGCATAGCTGGGGCAGCAGAATCTTACTGCATACCAGTGGGCTCAAGTAATGTCCTTAAAATTATTTCATTTTCTTTTGCAGTGTAAATGCAACAAAGGAACCTACTTTTAAAATTTCTTCTGTTATAAAAGCACAGGTCAGAAACATAGAGAAAAGAAAAATCATAAAATTTTGCATCAACTTTCCATTTTTTTTTGACAGTAGAACTCCTCCTCCAGACTCTCACAGCAGAAAGCAAACATTTATCTGTACAATTAATTTCTATAAAGTATCTAAATTCTGTATTAAGAGTTAACAGCAAACATAATTTTATCACGTGTAACACTTTATCTGGGACCTAAGGGTAAACTTTGATCTAAAGTCAAAATCTCTCTACAAATAAAATTCACATGCACATATAGCACCATTCTGAATTCATTAACAGTATTAACTTAATTATTATATACCTGCCTCTTATAGCCACTGAGGTCAGTACTATCCAGTTTGAAATAATTTTAAATTAGGTACACAGGATTTTAAAGTCTCCAGTGTAAAGGTATTTAAAGAGCATTAGAAAACTGCCTGGGATAGAAAGCTTTAATTTTTAGAAATAGAAAGCTTTTTAATTTTAAAGTTTAAGCTTTAATTTTCAGTTGTTAGTATCAAATCATAAGAGAACACAGGAACGTGCATCTTCCTTTAGGCTGAGCTCCCCGCTGCCCCAGGCAGCCGCACCATGAGATCCATCAGCTCCCGCCTTTCTTGAGCTGCACCTCAGAACCAGGCGGCCGGCTTTGTCCCATTGCTCACCCGGGACTAAATGCTCCTTCAGAGTCAGCTATACAGGGATTAGAAA